TCCCCAAAAAAAAAAAAATTGCTCTTGGTGGACATAAGTACTTTTGATAGAATTACTTGCATGACTAGTTAAAGCACCTGCGCAGAAATTCTCCTTGTAGCAGGTATACTTTTGATTTGTTTGACTGCACATTTCTTGAATGTTATGTCTTTTTCTTTGACATATCTAAGCTAATTTTAGACAGTATTTGACTGTCAACTTTCACTTTCTAGGAGGTGATTTATATTACTAGTGTAACATTGGAGTTTGCTCAAGCTTTTTATAGAATACCCGGAGACTGTGGACTGTCATAGCTAAATTGGCTGAATTGTCTCAAAGGCCTGACTTAACTGTCAGATGCTGGATTACCATCATTGCTTTTGTTGCTGGATTTCTGGTGCTCGCACTGTTTAAGTATTCCATCTTACCAGTTTCTGAATGAATTGAGCTATTTTCAACCAAATTTGACAGAGGGGAAGACAGAGCTTGGCGCTTATCAAACTGTGTGAGTTAGCCCTATGTAAGACACCAAAGAAAGTCTAGGGGAGACTAGCTTAAAAAAGCCCCATCGACAATTTCAGGTAGTGTGAACACTTTGGTCAGGAATCTCTGTCAACAGGAAATATGGATATAACATGGATCGTAAAATATTTTTCCTGAAAATAAATTTTGGAAGAGATCTTGGCTCCAAATTAGGGAAAATACTCCATTACTGAAACATAAAACCTACTGGCATTACTACACTAAAGTCTGATTCAGAATTATCTGAATGTCCAGGATTGTCTTTAGGAGTTTGTCAAAAACTTCAGAAAAGATGTGATGAGAGTAGGAATGTCAGTATTAGTTATACAAGACTCGGCCATCCTAAACAAGTGTATGAACATTGTGTGTTCCCACCTGTTCTGTGGAGCCATTGATAATACCTCAACATCTTAAAAACATCTCCCTGTTTACAGTACAATTTAGGTTTGCCACACAACTGTAAGATAATATGAGGAAATCTACTTATGTAATAATCACCTTTAAAAATTAAAGCTGTGTTTAATTCTTTGAGCTTTAGTGTTCCTTGAGAGCAGTAGAACATCTGGAAAGTGGGTTCTTACGGGTATCTATGCAGGAACTTCAAAAAATTCTAATCAGTACAGTATGATAATGCATTTATGTTAATTTTTGTGTCTTGGTCTCATTTCAGATGAAGTGGCTGTCTGACCTGCCCCAACAGTGTATTTTGCTGATGACATGTCTCCTAGTGGCCTTGGAAGCTGTACCTATAGACATAGATAAGACAAAAGTCAAAGGAGAAGGCCATGTAGAGGGAGAGAAGGTAGAAAATCCAGTAAGTGTAATGAAGTTTATCTAATTAAGTATTTTTCCCTAATTGTTAGTAATCTGCCTATAGCAAACTCCCTTGTAAAATTTAGAGGGGAAGGACTGCTTGCTGTTCCACAAAGACTTCTTTACAAGCATTGTAAAAATTGAGTGGTGGCTTAGAAAATTCCACTCAGTTCAGTGTTTCAAATAGAACAGTAATGAATCAATTGCTCTGTTTTAAAAAAAAACCAACAAACTATATTAACATGAAGATGCTTGTATATAACATGGATTCCTGAACACTTTTCTCCTCTTCCTTGTCTGTTGCTGAAACAAATGAACCATAAGAATAAGTTGTTATAGGGCAACGATGCAAATCAGAAAAAATGAAGATCTGTAAGAGACCATAATGCCTGTGTTGCTGAGATTTGAGTTTCAGTTTAATCATTATATTTAAACAAAATAAGATTCTGTTTGGTAGTATATTTGTTCCTCAATTTCACATTCTTTTTTTAAAGGATACAGGACTTTATTATGATGAATATCTCAGGCAAGTAATAGATGTCTTGGAAACAGATAAGCATTTCAGGGAGAAACTCCAGACTGCTGACATAGAAGAAATAAAGGTAGGTGCAAAAAAAAATTAAGGTTAATTAAATCCATAATCATGAGCCATGTATGTTGTAGTCTTCCTTCCTTCCTTTTCTTTCTTTATACTACTCTCAATTTTTGTGATCTTAAATTTCCTCTTATTTTTATTTACTTAGGTATTTAACTTTTACTAGATTGTTGCCTTTAGTCAAGGGACAGCAGAACTGCTGTTCATTAAAGAATATCCCATAGCATAAAAAAAAACCCAACAACATATGCTTGAATGCACAGTTTCTGCCTTCTGCCTATCTACTAAAAAGCCAGTTTCAGACTTCATACAGGTAGGTGAACCTTCATGTACATCAAAACAGCTGGAAGTGTAGCTCTCACTTGCTGTTGCCTGCTGAGTGATTTGGAACACTGTTTTGAACATGAAGGTATATCTGTCTTTTGAGATTAAAATAGTGTGTCACAAACAAATATGATGACACGGAAGAGAATTACAAGAAAGTCGTATTTTGAAATCTGAGGAAACTGAGGAGTTGTGCTAGAGGTAAAGTTAGTGTACATAGGAATAGAATAGACCTCTGGCTTTCTCCGCTGCTGTCCTTTCTTTTGTGCCAATCCACGTAGCGCACTCTCCAAAACCTCACCGCATTCTTGTCTTTTCTACTTTAGTTCCTGGCTCTAGGTGATGGCTGTTCTGCATTCCCCTTTATGAGCTAGAAATTCAGCAAGGGACAGGTAGGAAACAGTCTAAAGTGGTAGACTTAAAGAGGAGATCCTGCCTTTTGCATTTACTTTAATCCTTTGTGTTGCCGTTGGCAGATTTTTGCTCCTTTTTCTTCTGTACTAGATCTACTGTAACCCTTGAAGATTGCTATCCATTTCCAGATCCTGATAAATATTCTTGCAATACACATTGGTGGCTGTTGCTGTGCTTGTACCTTCTCTCAAGTCTTACAGCCGCCATCACATCGAGTGGATGAAGAACACAGCACTTCCTGTGCACCTCGCAGTTCTTTTGAACTGATTTGAGAACATTTGATCAAGAAATTTGCCACCTCTTAAACATTATGAGATATTGCTGCTTCAAGGTCATGCTTTTGCTCTTTAAAGGAGCAAGATACTTTAGAAATTCTCTTTTCAGAAAGCTTTTAGGATTTCTCTCTGTTTCTATAATCGTAGGCTTAAAAAAACTGAATATACTCTTTGAAAAATTTTGAGATTCTTATAATATGGGCTACATTATTGCCAAAGACTCACAGTAGTCTGCTGTCTTGCAGCTCATGTCTAATGGGAATCCTAAAGGCACATTGTTTTTACCTGTAACTTGTTTTTTGACAGAGTGGAAAACTAAGCAGAGAGCTTGATTTAGTAAGCCACCATGTGAGAACACGGCTGGATGAACTAAAAAGACAAGAGGTGGCAAGATTAAGAATGTTAATTAAAGCTAAAATGGATTCTGTTCAAGGTAAGAATACAAAATTTAACCAGGTGAGTTAACAGATGGGATTGCGTTGGAGAGGTGCCCAAGATCTGTTATGCTTTGTTTGTTGTCAACAATAATGACTGTAAGCTGAAAGTTAGTGTCCTTTCCGAGCTGGCCTAGGGCCAGTAAAGAGCCGTTTTTACAGGAAACTGGGAAGATGAGAAAAGCCATCTGTATTTTATAAATAACCGGACTTGATTATGGCAGTGGATTTTTCAGATGCTTATAATCTTTTTCAACCTCTTTTTTATTTTTGTGGTGCATCAATTTACCCACTGAGAACTAGTAACATAGTAGGTCTATGTTTAAGAATACATAATGACAGCATTTCATATCTTTACAGGGTAGAAAATGAGGGGTTTTGGTTGGTTGGGTTTTGGGTTTTTTTAGAGTCAGTTAACACAAAAGTTTTCCTTTTTCTCTTTTTAAATCCCTTTTCCACCAATTAGAGTCATTGTACAGATTTATAACAAACATTAAACATTTCAGTTCAGAAGATTATTTTTTCTTATTTTGGGGGCAGTTTTAATCTGAATAAAGAAAAACATTTGGAGTGAAAAAATTCTCCATAGCATTTTTTTAACTGCTAATGAAATTGTATAAACTTGGGCAATTTCTTGTAATGGATAAAGTATACAGGTTTCTAATGATTCTGGTTGCTCTATGTTTGTATGGGAAATGGTGCTATCCCTTTTTATTTCTTATTACCAAATAATTTTTGAAGTTTGCATTTAGAACTAATTCTGTAAATTTCTTATTAGTGGTTTCTTATTGAAGATAACTAGTTGCTCATAAACAAAGAACCTAATGGTGGACTGCATGATTTTGTTCCTGAAATGCAGTTTTTCACAAAGAAGTTCTAATAAAAAGGGCTTAATTTGCCTATTATTTATTTTAAAATTTTTATTATTAAAAATATTTGCAAGTTACAGGGAGGCATCCCACTGAATTGAATAGAGAATGTATCAATTTAAAATACTCTGTCTTCCAGGCTAAGTCAAATTTCACAGAATCATCAGTATCACATCATGGTTGGAAGGGACCTCTGAGATCATCGAGTCCAACCCCAAAAAAAAACCCCAAAAAAACCCCAGAAAAAACCAATAACAACACACACAACACCCCACCACATCACGCCCAGCCACAAACCAAGAATCTTGGGCACTAGAGCATGCCCTGAAGAGCCATGTCTACATGTTTCTTAAATCCCTCCAGGGATGGCGACTCCACCACCTCCCTGGGCAGGCTGGTCCAGTGCCTGACCACTCTCAGCAAAGTAATTCTTCCCAATATCTAATCTAAACCTCCCCTGCCCCAACTTCAGACCATTTCCTCTGCTCCTGTCATTATTCCCTTGGGAGAGGAGGCCAACACTCGCCTCTCTACAACCTCCTTTCAGGTAGTTGTAGAGGGCAATGAGGTCTCCCCTCAGCCTCCTCTTCTCCAAACTAAACATGCCCAGTTCCCTCAGTCTCTCCTCGTATGACTTGTTCTCCAGACCCCTCACCAGCTTGGTGACTCTCCTCTGGACACGCTCCAGCCCCTCAATGTCCTTCCTGTAGTGAGAGGCCCAAAACAGAACACAGTACTCAATTTAGAGGTGGCAAGTAAACCAAAGAAGTATGCATGTGTAAATATGTGTTCTTGGGGATGTTTCTAGGGTCAGGAAGGCATTGGATTAATTTGGGAAAAAATATATTTACAGTGCAGTACCTTTCTATTGAAGTCTTCAGGTGCTTACAATGAATAATAACAGAGTTGGCTGAGGGCGTCAGATCACCTTTCTGTCCTTTGCTTTCTTTTAATGAAAGTTCTACTCAAGAGAGTACAGTCCACTGGTAGCTAGACAGTGCAGACCAGTGGTAGCACCTCCACAGGGGTCCGTGCATTGCCTCACATGCCTGCTAGACTTTGTGGTCATCTTCAGGTGGCTCTTTAGCCACCAAGAGCCCAGTTTCATGCTCCTATTGCAGGCAAACGATCCAGTGACATCATGGTGACACAGTGAGCTAATGGACAGCAAGTAATGATACCTGATTGTTTACATAGTAATTTTGTGTATTTTGAATTTTTTTAATAGTTTAATGGACTGATTGCTTCTAGCTCTCTCTACTTCCATAAGTCAAGAGTGCTTTAGAAAGATAATTCCCCCCAACAGATCAGATCTACTACAGTGTATGAGATCTCACGGTTGGGAAAGAACAAGATCAGATTATTCCAGTTGAAAATATACAGATTACTTCTAAAATGTGAAAAAAAAGACAGTGGGAAAACATTCTGTAAATTTTATAATCAACCCTACCAGCAAGTACTTCACACCACATACAAGTATGGCCAGATTATGTATAAAATACAGCTGCATCTGTATACCTGTGCAACATCTTGGAACATGTACAGAAGAGCACTCACTGCATGGTAACAGCAGGCAGAGCTGTTTGATTTCCCTTTATTTGTTCTGTTAATCTTTTCCCTGTAACACCACTTAGTATTTTAGTCTTCTATCAGATCTAAAAAAGAAAAAAAAGCACAGACACCCCCCCCCACCACCATTTTCTTCCCTCTCAGATGTATCGGGTCTAAAAAAAACCCAACAACCAGAGATGAGATTATATTATGCATATATACAATCCTGATCCAGATGTGTTTTTAAGCATTTGCACCAAGATCCTAGATTGATCAGTACAGACAGAAGAATGTTAGGGTTTGGGTCTCAGATAATACAGTAATATAGCAAGTAAATAGTGTCAAATTAGTCTTTTCTCATAAATATAAGAAATGGAGGAAAATGGGTTTGGGGGCAGGTCTGGTTTTGTTTTGGTTTTTTATTTGTTTTTGTTAAAAAGCCTATTATTACACTTCTAAAAAATGTTTCAAAACCAGGCTAAGACACGTATATTTCAACAGAAATTATGATCTCACCAGAGAGGAATGATGGTTGAAATCTGCCCCAGCCAGTGTTTGCTGTTTTGTGATAATACAAACACAGCACTGAGTGTAATACAGATAGTTTACCAAAGAATAACATATTCAAAATGTTTTCCAATTGTTTTTCAAACAAATAAAATACTCTTTGCTAAGTGATCTAGTAAAAGCTTATCTAAAATTGTTATACATAATATATCAAAGTGAAGGTTGCTTAAGTTAACATTATCATCTAGCATTCAGAAACCATGGTAACAGCTAGAAAAATGTGTTGCAGAAGTGTGTTTTAGGTACATTGTGTATTGATATTTTTTGGTATAGTTCCTGTTTGAAGGAGAAGATAAATGTTTGCAGCTTTTAGACACAGGACCTGGCTCTCCACTGTCTTGAACTTCTCATTGCGCACAAATGAAATTTGAATATCTGCTTATCTGATTTGATAGAATTTTGCACCATAACACGCATCCATCTTTGGCCAGATATAAGTCATTTGCAAAATGTACAGGGCAGTAGAATAGTCAGATTTCTCCCAGTTCAGGAAAAAGATGTAATTTGTTGGCTCTGATACTGCACATAACTTCAATAATGCCATCTATATAAAAGGGAATAAAATATTTTTCTTAGTTTGTGAAGCTCAAATTGACTGTACGTTTCCTTGCTGAAGCACAAGCCTTAATTTGTGCATGTTAAATTATTATGTGCAGTGAAACCCTGACACATCAGAAGGAATGGAGTGCAAATTGCTATCAAGTTTGCCAGTCTCCTTCAGCAAAAGCAATTTCAGAAGTGTTGCTATAGTTTCCTCCAACAGTAAAAATGTATTCAGTCCTCAAGCAGCCTCAAGTACTTACAAGGCACAAACTCCTGTATAAAAGTTTTTAACTTCCTGATCTTGCTTGATTTCAAACTAATTTTAATGTTTTACATTTCTACCTTGTTCTTTCAGACACTGGCATAGACCATCAAGCTCTCCTTAAACAGTTTGAACACCTGAACCATCAGAATCCTGACACGTTTGAACCTAAAGATTTAGATATGTTGATCAAAGCAGTAAGTGCTAGATATAAACTACTGTGGGTTTTTTTTATTTATTAATTATTATGCTTTTTCTGTGGTAAAAGCAAATCCATATATACACCACTTTTTTGTAGGTGAGATGTAGTTGTCGTTTTCAGAGAAAAATGTCTTCATTGCACACTTGAAAAACTGTTGTCAGTGTGCATTATGCTGAAGAATGCATAATTTTTGGGGTGGCATCTTAACAGGACTTGCATTCATGTGCCAGTACAAACAATTTTGGGAATAAAATAAGCCTGCCTAGGAGCATTTAAATTAAATGCAGTTTTGATAGGGTTACATTTTTCTCAAGTATATTTTCTGATTTCTAATTCTAAATTATTTAAGTGTCTCACAGAATGACATAAAAATCGTCCCATGACTAGCCATTTGAATTTTGGGATCTGTTATACATCAAGCAGCAAAACCACAGCAGAGTAGAATTTAAGATATCAATATTGGAGATTGCATATGGTAGGCATGGCATTCAGTGTCTATTTAGCAGGTTTGATATCAACCACAGGTGTGGGGTTGTTTTTTTTTTCAGTGCATGTTTATTGACAGGATGCAGTTAAGCAAAGCATAACATGGCTTTTTTCAACTGCTGGAAAAAATACACTTCCCAGTGGTAAAAAAGGCTTTAAAGAGCACTGTATGGTTGACATGAGAATTTGACAGTTTTTATATTTTCAAAATAAATGGAAAGTAAAGGTATATTTTAAGCTTCCTGTAATTTTTGTGGATTTTTTTTTACCCTTAGAAAATTTTATCTCAGTTTCTGTAAGATTATCTTTTATAAAGTCTCTTGCCATTTCTCAGCATCACTTCTGGGAAAACTCTGGTTGGCTAGGAGAAGCATATCCTCAGCGGGCAGTTCTTTCTCATATTATTTTTTTTGTCTTCTCATTTACTGACTCCCATTATTAACAAAGGCACTTTTTTCATTAAACTGTAGGATAAACTACAAATGTTCTTATTCTGAAACAAACAGGGAGTTAATGACACTATTTGAAGTTGGGCTTAATTAATATGGGACATAGTTAACTTGAGGTTAATTTATTATTAATTCATGAGAAAGGACACCTTGATGCCTTCTTACATTACTGTGTATTTGAAAAAATGATCCAACAGTTGAACCCTTGCATATTCATTTTTGTGAAAATAACAAACTGAGGGGTATTTTTGCATCACTGTTACATGAAAGGAAACCACTGACTAGTCTACCTCCTGTTTAAGAGCAGAATGGCAATCTGGCCAGCCTTGCCCACAGATTTGAACAATACAGTGGTTTTAATGTCATATGTGTTAACATGGTTGTGTGGCATAATCATATGTCTGTTTATATCTATATTTTTAGGCTACAAGTGACCTGGAAAACTATGATAAGACCCGCCATGAGGAGTTTAAAAAATATGAGATGATGAAAGAACATGAGAGGAGAGAGTATTTAAAAACACTGGATGAAGAAAAGAGGCAGCGAGAAGAATCCAAATTTGAGGAGATGAAGAAAAAACATGGAGATCACCCTAAAGTTCACCATCCTGTAAGGCCACAGTCTGTTCTTACATGATTGTGTGGAAGCTTTCCTTTCCAGAGAGAAAAAGCTAATGAAGAGAAGGGTGGATCTTATTTTTTCTCGACATTTGCCTTCTCTCATTGACATAGGAGCAGATTGTGGGAATAGTGTTGAAAGCATTAAAAACCCACTATATATAACCCCCCATTTTTTCTCTACAAGTTTGCTCTTTGCTGGCAGAGTTATTATTTACAAAGAGGCTAAAACTCATGAGGAAGAAGCCAGAATGCTACTCAAAACTGTAGGGATGCCTTCATGGTATGCATAACCTGCAAGGGACTGTTTTGCAGCCTCTTTTGTTCTAGAAAAGGCAAAAATAATTTTACTCACTTCAGCTGTTTTTTATAGATAAGTCTGTGTGTCCATGACTGATTATTACAGATTATTTCCACAAAACATGCATTCCCTTGACATTCCCCCTTTCCCTGGGCCTTTCTGTCTAATGAAAGTATTAGACCTGACCAAAGGGGAATTAAAGAAAATTCCATTGATTCCATTTGCAGCATGACCAGAAATCAGAAAATAAATCCTTTCAGAGAAACTATATGATGCCTTCATGCATCCATGCAAAGGTAATGCAGAAAAATTACAGTTAATCAATTTTTTAATAGTTTTTCTTTGTAACCAATCTATAGGGAAGCAAAGATCAGCTGAAAGAGGTGTGGGAAGAAGCAGATGGACTAGATCCCAATGAATTTGACCCAAAAACATTTTTCAAATTACACGGTAAGAGGTTTAGTTTAATTTAATAAACAAGTGAAATGACTTGGTGTTATCTTATACTGAGGGCAAGTTTGTCTTATGCTAGGATGAAGTCTCATACCTCAAACAATTTGGATTAATCTGAAGAGTATAGAGGAGAAAATATTTAATTATTGTTTATAAGATTACTGCAGAGTTTTAAATGGGGATTTAAAGTTGAAAACATTGTTTTGCTTAACTACTCATAAAATCATACAGGCAAAAACCAGTAGTGATTGCTCAGGGAAGTATGGGCACTTAGAGGGCTGTCCATAACTATAACTTCGCTTACACACTACATAGTAAGAATAAATGCTTAGAGGGGAAAACCTGCTTTTTCATCATCTCTCCAGTTAAGTGCTAGACTCCCCTTATCTTTGGAATGGTCATAGAAGTGCCAGCCCTCTTCAGTAGTTGCAAGATTCCCCTTCATTAAAAAAAAACAACAACAAAACACACAAAAAAAACCCCAATAACCAAACCATAATGACCTCCAGTCCTGTCTCTATATTTCTGAGCAGTGTGCAGCTAGAAACAATAAAATCATCTCAATGGGCATTTTGCTTTAAATGTGATTGTATAAATGTGTAACCTTATATCCTGACATTTTTAAATGCTTCATAACACAGAATTTGACTAATGATAATTTAACCGAAAAGTGCTCTAGCTTGAGTCTGAACTTTTATCTTTGTTTATAAAATAAATACATATTGCAGTTATTGAACCATATTTCTTTATAGAAAGAGATCTTGAAAGATAATACTCTGAAAAAATTTGGTAGCTTTTTTGTGTAAATCTTACCAAAACAGAGATACCTGAAACAACCCTTTGCCTTAGAGCTTAGTATATAAAAAAGTTTGAAGTAATTAAACAAAAATATTGCACAATAACACTAATTTGAAGAAGGCATTCTCTTTCCGTTTCAGAGGTAGTGTAACATTATTCAGAGTAGAATTTAGGGTAAAAGATGGATCATTAGTTGTCAAGTATTCTCTCAGCATTTGTCATGAAAAGTCATTTTACAGTGATCTTTTCTCAAGTGCTGCATATTTATATAGATTTTCACATAATTCTTTAGTTATTTTGGAGAGTCATACTGTTGGTTAACAAAGTTTTTCTACAGATCATTGTTGCTCCTGAATCTATTTACAAATTTAATTGTTAAATTGGGACAACTTGTTTTCAGCACTATTTTTTGGCAGTTGCTCTCTGTGCAATCCTGTTGTGACCTACTTCAGTTTCCAAATCTAAGAAGTAAGGAGATTGCTCCAGACTTGTCCAATCAACCAACTAAAAATGGCAATATGGTTCAGCCAATGCCTGTTAAAAACCTAAAGAGAAAAAACAACCTATGTAACCAGCATCTAGTTAAATGAGGGTTTTAATTTACGTGAGATGTGTATGCTGATACTTACTTAACTCATGGAGAACTGTTACATGTATAACTTTCTGTAAATACTCAGCTTTGATTTTCAACACTGCTTTTTGTAGATGTCAATAATGATGGTTTCCTGGATGAGCAAGAATTAGAAGCCCTGTTTACTAAAGAGGTAAAGGAAAAAAAAAGTTCAAAAACTTAACTTGTTTCAGTAAATGGTTACAAGAATGTCTGTATTCTTTCCAAGTGTATTTGGGGCTTTGGACTACAAATTAGAGTATTCATGCCAACTTTTGTGCTTTGTTAATGTTTCTACAAAAGTGTAAAATCGTATCAGCAGGGAAAATAAATTAGATGAAGTATAGGACTCAGACACCAGAGATCTAGTGCTCAGGTGTTCCTCTGCTGCATGCTTGTTTGAGATTTTGTAATTAATCTGCACAACAGCTATACCTATATAAATTGCAATGCAGAGAGCAGCACTCGTGCTCTGGCTAGATGCAGCCTGGTAGAGTCTCTGAAGCTGGGTTCTGCTCATTCAGTGCTAATCTAATGTGAGTTGGCTCAAAGCACATTGTGGAAGCAGCTACAGAAATTTCACGTATTTTGTATCTAGCTAATTCGGAGTGCATGTACATCTGATAAATTAGACAGGCTCTAGTTTCTTGAAGCCTTGGTTTGATATCCATGAAAAAGCAAATATTAGCACTTTTCTGCCTCCCAAAGGGATAATGATAGCAATGGACTGAAATTCTACAGTGATGGGAATTGCAGAATCAATGAGTGCACAAAGGGCCTTGGTCTTCATTTTTCCAGTAGGTTCTGTTTCGGTATAGCAGGAAAAAAACAAACTTCCCACTCAGAGATCCGGTGCTATGGCCGTCAATGTCTAAAAATTTTTTCTAAATTTCATGAGTCAGGGAGAAAAAGTGCAATATAGTGTATATAGAAGTTTATAAATTCAGACTACCCTAAATTTTTGAAGAAATTAAATTTGGAAACACAGGTTTGTAACAATACTTTTTCATAATCCTCTCCAATACAATGAAGATATATAGCAGTCTTTTTTGACAGATATGTCCCACCATTTTGCAATTTTGTAGTTTAAAAACAAATAGTCTGGGGCCTTAAAATTACCTATGGCTAAACAAGCAAAGCTGAATGACTAAGAAAGCTAAATAGAAGCAAATAAGCATAAATTCAACAGAAAGACATTGTTCAAGAAGAGAAGTGGACCATTAAATTAAGCACTCGATTTATCTTGTGCTATCCTGAATGCTCACAGGGTCAGCTTCATGCTCTGATAAAAAAAAGCTACTCTGTCCTGTTCCAGAAACCAGGTGGAAACTCTGCCTGCTTTGAATCAAATGTAGGATCAGACTGTGCCCGCCAAGGTTATCTTTACTGTAAAGTCCAGAGCACGAAATTTCAACAGACCACATGAATTAACTGAGAACTTCATTCTTAGCAATGAAAGGCTCACTTGTTGCTTAAATACTATGCTAAAAGAAGAGAATTACACGCATACACACTCATTCTATGGGAAAAATGGTGAACTCATGTTTTTAGCAAAACCTCCAACTACTGTTCCGAATGTGCTCTGTCATTTGAATGAGCAGCCCTTTCTCCAAACTAACATTTGCTAATTCTGAATTTCAGCTAGAAAAAGTTTATGATCCCAAAAATGAAGAGGATGACATGGTTGAAATGGAAGAAGAAAGGCTGAGAATGAGAGAACATGTAATGAATGAGGTGGGGACTGACGTTCAGTAGAGCTGCCAATTTCCTTCCATGTTCAATAAATACCGTCCTCCTAATAAGAAGGGTTGTCCAAGTACAGGGACAACCTGTCACACTGAGTGCTTGTTGTGCTGGCATTCACATAAAGTTACAGTTGTCAAGCCCTGCCCCTATATTCTGATGTAAACGCCTGCTGGCTATTTTTTTTTAAAGAAGTTCCAGAGAAGGAATTGCACTGTAGCCTCCCATCTTTGGCAGATACTAAGATTCAGTAGAAATTCCCGGTGAATTTTGTGTCAAGCAGGAAAGACTCTAAATGTGCTTTTGCACTTGGCAGATGAAAGATTGAGGTGTGAGGAAAAAGGAGTAGACCTGTGTCTTGTTTCATGTAGCTCACCTTTGTCCCTTCAGAAGGGGGCTCATAGCTCCAGGTGTCACCTGTGACAGTGAATACCTTTACTAGTGCTGGTAGGTTTTCTGCTCAGAAGACAGAGGAAAGGGCAGATGATGTTTTAAACCACCGTGTTTTTCACTCGTATCTTTTCTGTATTCAAATATATTTATTCCTTAAGCTTGAGTAACAGAGCAAGCCTGGTATTCTCTTAGTCATAAAGGGAAGCATTTCCTCCCTTCCCCTTAAGGATTTTGACACAATTCAGTTGGCGTTTTTTTAATATTTTAAAATCTCCCTAACCAACAGTGGAGATTACTCTGACTCACAGTTACAAAATTATTACCAGAAACCTATAAAACACTTCACTCAAAAAAATCATGCCGCTATTAGCAGTGGGCCTGTGACCACAGATAATGTTTTCAATAAAGCCAATGGATTTTGAAGTAAAATGTGAGGATTTACTTTTATTTCAATTTTTATTAAGCCATATGAGCTTGTCAGGGAAACTTTCAGAAGATTTTGCAGGCACTTCTTTGAAAATGGGACAGTTTAAAAATTAAATGGTTCTATTTGAAGATATTTGCATAATGAAATTAAACATTAGCTCTTCCAAAAGCTATCGTTTGGATTGAGTTTCATTTTTTTGCTTCAAATAGGTTGATGTCAACAAGGACCGGCTAGTGACTTTGGAAGAGTTCCTGCGAGCTACAGAGAAAAAGGAGTTTTTGGAGCCAGATAGCTGGGAGGTAATGAGAGTGTGTTCCAAGTGCAGCATATTGTACCATTACCTTCACTCTAACCAGGAAACCAAATGGCATGTCTCTGACCTTTGCTTTTTTTCAGACCTGTATTGGTATGTGTGTGGTGAAGCGCCTTAGCTGTATGTGCTGTACAAAATGTAGAGGATAATGTAATGCAGATGTAGTCCTTACGGTCCCCACGCAAACAGAAAAGGTCTTGTGCCACCCTGTGGATTCTAGAAGAGCTTTTCCCACATGCTTTTCGAACAAAAAATGGACATTTGGTTTATGAATTACTTTAAAGAGAAGATAAGACCTCAGCTGGAAGCAAGAGGAATTCATTTTTCTCCTTCCCCTAAATCTGTAGTAGAATTTTGCTGTTTCTTACAATGAGTGTACTGACCCTTTGCAGTGTCATGTCTGGTTGTTTTGATGAAAATTCTGAGGGTTTTTCCGTGAATTGTACAGTTCAGCTAATAGTAATTTTAGTTGGAAGATAATAAAAATATATATGCATTCCTGCCTAAGTATTCATGTTTGTATGTATTTTCTTGCAGACACTAGATCAACAGCAGCTCTTCACTGAGGATGAACTGAAGGAATTTGAAAGTCATATTTCTCAGCAGGAAGATGAACTAAGAAAGAAGGCAGAAGATCTTCAGAAGCAGAAGGAAGAGTTACAGAGGCAGCACGACCAGCTTCAGGCTCAGAAACAAGAGCTTCAGCAGGTACACTTACGAGAACAGAAATTTTTTTTTTGCCTTTTCTATATCCTTGTATGTGTAACAACTCATGACAGTCCCCAATTCTGGAGCATTCTTTATCTTGATTTCTTATATGAGTCCCAGCTGAATTCTAAACTAATGGTACCACAGCAAAACATATTTTAGTATTCAGGAATATAGCAAACAATACAAGCATCTCAACTCAGTAGCATACCCATTAACAAAGACTTTAAATAATGACTACAAAATTTGGTTTAAGTGTATTCTTTTATGTCATATCAGAGAAAGTTGACATATTTAAGTTTTTTAATTGTGAGGTTTTGTTTTTCACCAGGTCGTAAAACAAATGGAACAAAAGAAACTACAGCAAGGAAATCCTCCTGCAGGACCAGCTGGAGAACTGAAATTCCAACCCCGTATGTATCTTTCTGTGTAGATACACAAACTTTAAAAGCAGATCTCGAAGTCATTAAAATGATACCTTCTGTTCAAACTGTTATTATAAGGTAGTTTTAATGATCTCTGTAGAGAGGTTCACTAAATTTTCTTTAAAAAGGAAGTATAACTCTGATAATGTATTTCTGAAATCTCAATGCTTTTAAATCCGTAGTAAAAAAACAGAGTTGTAGCTTAAGACATCCAATGGGCAGAGGAGGAGGAGGATTGTGTTGTACCTATCAGTCTAAAAACATTGAGGTCTAGGATTTCTGAGCATCCAGAGGAGAATAGGGGCATACAAATGACCAGGTCTGTCCAACGTTCTCTGGCTGCATTACCAGTCTCAGACTGCAGTACAAATCAAAGCATTTAAATGCTTTCAACAAGTCTGTCCTCTGTGGCCAATTGAGCAGCAGTTGGGCACAATGGGACACGACAAGGTAGTTTTAGACAGTATGAGTGACTAATTGCTTCAACATCCTCAGAAGACGGTGTCATCATAAATCATTGCATTGGCTCATTGGTGGCAACAAAATGGTCGGGTATATAAATGGTCGGGTATATATTAGCATTTCTTGTCCACAACACATTGTCCATGTTTCTTTTGTGCTTTAAGGGGGCTTTGCTCTCCCATGCACCTTAGCATTTTCTCCCCCTCTGGAAAGGTTGAAAGTAATATGCCTGTATTGGCTTTCATGTTCACATGCTAACATTATAGTAGAGCTCAAGAACTTTTTGACATTAATCTCAAACATAACACTTAAGACTACATCCAGGCAGCCTTTTGAATACTGGAAGCTCTTAATCGCTTCTGCAGGGCCAACATGGGTTTTCAAACCTTAAATGCTATCTTCAGTCATTACACCTTACTTGGTTGAGTACCCTGAAATTCTATCCCTACGCCACTCAGTTCTGTGAAAAGAAATAATGACATTTCAGTACCAATTGATTTTTTTCTTTCATTTGCTTCAAAACTACCTCTGGGTACTTTCATTTTATGATCCTTAGTTCTGAGAGCCTTCCTTCATCTTCGGTAAAAACATCATGTATAATAGCAGATGCCCTGGTAGTTGGACTAACAATACATCTTTTGATACTGGCAATATTGTAGTATATACTGTTTTTAACACATACATTATTTTATGTAAAACCTTTTTGCAAAGTCATTTAATGAGGTGTCATAAGAATTCATTATACCAGCCAGAACTAGTCAGCACTCATTTAAGGTTAAGGAGTTAAGGAGATCCAAGTAGATGATATTTCTAATCTGTAGGCTACTGGAGCTACTAAGAGTAATCTGAGGAAAAAAAGAAAAATCACAAAAATGCAGCTGCAAGTTCCGACATTGTCAGCAAACTATGAACATTAGTAGTATTCAAAGGTAGCCAAAGGGATAATGCTGTAAATATTGTTGACACAGTGAGGAGTAAATATAGGAGCAAGTTGGTTTTTTTCTCCCCCGAAGCTTAGCATATTGAGATTGAAAGTTTCATAAACACAGAGTATATTTCAGAAAGAACAATCTCCAAAGAACCAATGTGTTTTATAAGTGAAAATATTTCACAGGAACAACTAATGATCTAAGAGGAAACTCTGAATATTATATGATACATATATATGTAAAAATATGTCCACCGATGCAGTCTATTGGGTGATCTCAATCCGATGTCACTGTTAGTCACATACAAAATGCCTGATTCCACTTAAAAACCAAAACCCAGGAGGTTTTGTTTGGTTGTCCCTACACTAGAAGCTTTCCTTTAGAGACTTTTCACATTTGGGGTCAATTTGAGAAGTTACAAATGTTATTATTCTTGTTTTACAGCTGGGGAACACAAAGTTGGAGATACACCAAAACATCCTGCAGGAGGTGATCAGCCTTTACCACCAGGACATGTCCAAGAACCAGCAGCTAGAACTGATCAAGTTCACCCTTAACCACTTGTGCCTCAACTTTATAGCATCTTTATTATTGAGGAATTGGGGGGGCGGGGGGAGGGCAGGAAATCAGATTGCAACATGAACTCTCCACTTTCTTCCCCAGATTGTAAAATCATTGAGAATGTTAAAGGTGAAGTATCAATCAGATTCAAATCATAGATTAAACTTTCTCCTTAATGCAGCAGTGAGAAACACAACAATGGGATCATTTAGAGGCTATAATGGAGGAGGGAATTAAGAAAACTATTAATACTAAAGGTTTTTATGGCCAGGGGACTGAGCTGTTGAACTCTTCTCTTACAAAAAGAGAGGAGATGTCTGCTATTCTGTGTTTAGGCACAAATCAGAATCTTCTCAGAGAGGAAGCAGGGAACTGGCCTGAGTGTCAAGTTAGGTCTAGTTTTACATAGAAACTCTTTCCAGAAATGCTGAGAAGTAAAATATGGGGAAACAAAGACCACAGATAAAGGCCTACCATTTCCAGCACTACCAAACCCTTTCTTCTTTGAGACCAAATAAAAATCAGACTTCTAATCCTTCATCACAGAAAATTTGCACTTTCTAAAATTTAAATACAGCAAAGAATTATGTGGAACAGTGAATATTTTTCATGTTTACAGAAGCCTAAGAATTCACTGTAAGCCTTGAAAAGGAATACTGTATTTCTGGTGTATTGATCTGAACCGTCCTCCTTGTTGAGATTAATTCTGTGTAGCAGTTGAATACTCAACTGGCTCTCGGGACAGTACTTTTGTCCCTGTTTCTTTCATCAGGTGCCAGCTGATCTCAAAATTTTGCATGTTATTAAGTAAGCCTTTTATGTTGATGGAAATATTGTGCAAAACAGAACAAGACTCATTGTCTTTTTCTGTACAGGTTATCCTACCTCCTATGATACCAGATTTTTCAAAATGCACCACATGCTTCAGAAAGCTTTTCTCAGACATGAATCTTTGACTTGTTAACTAGTCTTTCAACAGTTCATGAAGTGTCCTAAAACAGGGGTGCTACTTGATTGTATTATTTTGGTATTGAACCAGATTAAGTCCCTAGTATTGTAAGCCAAGATTTTACAAGAGTAAGTTAATTTTCCTGTGGGTTTTACTATAATGTTGAAAAGTTGTGTGATTGTCCTTGCTTGTCATGCATTTCAAACTGAAAGTATCCTAAAGCGTAAACCCTGTTTGGGGTTTTTTCTTTTTGTTTGCTTGAGCTTCTGTGGTGACTTTTTTTTTTTTTTTTTAAATGTGCATTGTTCTGGTTGTATAATTCTGGCTTTGAACTGATACACACACACACACACGCACCTTGGCAAGTATCCTTTGCATTTCCTTCCTGTTCTGTGGCTAACTATTGACAGTGTCATTAAAAGAGATCATGTGGGGTTTGAGTAAAGAAACAGGGGCAAGGCTGTGTTACAGAAAGATGTTGCTTTCAGTATAAGACTCGAATATTTTAGGCAAACTCAAAAAAGACAGGAGGCAATTACTAACATTTTGTATTGACATTTGGGAAGTTTTTCACTCTGAAGAACTTTGATCGACTGAAGCTAGGCATATTCCTTCCACTTTTAAGGCTTCTTTCATTAGGACTAAGCACATTCATGTTCTCCACACAAAATAACACCACTGGAACAGATGAGGTTTCCTTAACTGTTTCATCTTATTAGTTATCATGTCATATTTCCTTCAAGTTGTTAATATTTTAATTCCAAAACCAGCATCTCCACTCTTTGTCATTTCCATGCATTTCTAACATGAGTTTAATTATGTCTTTGTCAGGAGTCTAAAATACATTTTGACAACTTAGTCTTTTTTCTAAGAGGCCCAGACATAGTTACAGCTACATCCAAACTAACATTTTCTCAGTGTGCAGGCCTGTCTCTGAGGCTGTAGCCTGGTAATGGGTAACAGAGCGAGGCGGGAAACAAAGGGGCAATTATTCAAACGTTGTGGAACAGGTGAGGGGAAATTTTATTTGTGTTCTCCCCATCCCACATGAAAGTTTACAGAGGACAAATGCTACAGCCACAGATGTTTCTAGAAAATTAAGGAGCGAAACCTTTGGTGTGGAGGCATTTCTACCATACAAATCATTCCTTCAGGCTACATCCGCCTCCTAACAAATGTCATTATGTGTAATGACGTGCTTTGTAATGCTTATAAGCTTTGGTTTCGGTGCAACCTCATATTTTGACTGTAAGATCCTGACTCTCCCTGCTGTTGGAGATGGGCATTATATCCCCCTTATCCCATTTACTTCAAAACATCCAGAGTTTTGTAAAGAATTGTTGTAACTTGGGTGCTGAACTCAGCTTCTGCATGCTGCTATGTAGTGAGCATCACTGGTGACTCTGAGGAAGCCACTTGTGAGAAGCCAGAGTTTTCACTTGTCATTTCATCGTGAGTTAGCATTAGCACAAGTTCCTTGTTTTCCATTTCAGCTAGTCACTGAGGTGCATTTAGTGTAAAACAGCTCACGTCTTTCTTTCAGTTGCTATCTGATACCTAAGTGTTGTTCTCATCAGTGCTAAGGTACTTAGTAGCTTGCAGTTTAGCAATATACTACAGACTTTCTGTTCATTTTTTAGAAATGGAAACAAGCAGGTTTTTTAACCTTAGAATTGGTGGTTTGGTTTATTGCGAACAATAATCAAGGTTTAGTCAAACTGACAGTTATTTGCCCTAAATTATGTGGAAGCAAGAGCCTCGGTCCTCAACAGTACTTAAGATATTGAACTCCTACTGAACACATCTTAGATTTTTTGCCTAAATGTTTTTGAGATAAGCACCCAAATTACAACTTCATACTCTTCCACCCAATTCAAAAATCTCATATATGTGTGGGTACCTGTATCGCATGTCCACAAAGACAGCAAGGACTGAGGGGATGTTCTTTCAAAAGATGGTCTGTCAGGTCCAGGCTATGGACAGACAATGTTCACCTGATACTGTGCATCTCGCCCTCCTCTGTGGAGGAAGCATATTGTTCTTCAGGCCCAGGCTCAAAGAGGTCTCCGTCAGAGCGTAATGAAGTCACCAAACTATTTTTGTTCAATTCAGTTGGATCAACCTTGAAGTGTGGTTTATATAAGAGTTTTCTCACTGTGAAAAACATCTGCCTTAGAGGTTATGCAATGTGCTGAAGTCATGCTTACACATGAAATGTTTAGCAGATTTGTTGATTTTAATGTGTTTGTTGTTTTCAATGCTGATGTCTTCTTTTAATTGGCTTCTCTGTTCCATAAAAGAGACTAAAAGTATTAGCCACTGAAAGCATGTTTCTACCATGATACTTGTTTCTCAGGAGCTTTTTAAAGTTGAAAAAAAGTTATTAAACTAAGCTTACAGCTAAGCGAGGAAGTAGAAAGCTATAATCACAGATAAATAAAGGGACTGGAATATCTTAGGCACCAGTGCTTTCACCTGTACTCTGCTTTTCATTTAGGAGGTGGTTACAAGAAAACCGAATGTAACTTCATACAGACACCAGTTCCAAGACAAAGATGCAGAGATTCAGTTTTGTACTTGGCTGGAATAAGATTTGATCAATGTTGTAGAAATTCGTATCCTCCAGTGCAATATATGTAGGAAAAAAAAAAAAAAGCAGCCCCGCTCTGTAGTTTGTATAGATTAGTTTTTAACTGGATTAAACTGAAACTCAGCGTAGTGTCAGTCGTCTAGTGTTTTATTTTAAGTGGGTGGGAAAGAGGTGGGTTTAGATCTTGTCTATATGTACAACTTTTTATTCTTGCTTAGAGGTCATTCCTGTTCATTGTCCATTCTTTGCTCTCTGGAAAGATGTGAAAAGGAATTTTGAAAAAGAGATGAGTATCTTGTGTTCTTTGCTGGCACCAGCTGCCTCGCTGCAATAGCTGTTCAGTAATTAGATACTTGAATGCTCAATTTTGTATATTCATAAAAATACAAAACTAACTAATTGAAATGCTACTGCAACACCATTACAAACCCTTGACAACACCACACACTTCCCTATCTTCTTCAAATTCAAAACAGAAATCCCAGAGAAGGTGAAGCACCCACAGGTTTAATAACAGACTTGGCCATCGGTTACTTTTCTTTGCTTACAGATTTTGCCTTCAAGTCAGGTGTCAGCACGGCTGTGGCAGCGTGTCTCTTGGGAGATCCACAAGACATGATGCTGTATCCAGCCACATGAGATTTTTCCATTCTGTAAGTGTATCTTGATTAAGAAAAAATTGATGTATAGTGGTATTTTCTGAAGAAGTGAAGCTCTGAGCTACGGATTGTTGTTTTGTGATTTACCCAAAAGTAGGTAGCAGATACCAGGAGCCGTCACTAAGGTCAGCCCCAAAAATACTTTATTGTTTGTATCCTCAGATGTCTGTTACTTACTGAAATTAAGAGGGTTGTACCGAGGTAGTGAATGTCCCATCTGAAAACATATCAACACTCACTGTAGTTTAGTTACATTTCTAAATTATTATTTTTTTTTTACATAATGGGAAACAGCTTGAGCCCTGTTATTTACGCATCCACAGACAGCAAATATCAAAACCACCTACACTTACACTAATGTTTTCTAATGCCTTAAAAGCTATACTTGCCAGAAACGCTTTGTATCCAATAGTAGCTCTTCCTATAATTATACTAGTCAATACTATGCTATATAACAGCCTGCACACTTGCTTGTGTAGTGAAGTAGAATATCAATGAGGGAAAGTAATTTTTTTCAGAGATCCACAAGTTTCTAAATGTGGTAAATTTTTCGGTGACAAATAGAGGGACAGAGCAGCACTACAAAGCTGGCCTCTCTATTCATTGCACCTTTTCCGTCAATTCAAGAAGCTGTTAGTCTGAATGACCACACAGTGACTGCTGTTCAGTCTCTGTTGCAAACAATTTGTGTTTACTAAAATGTGCATTTCCTTAACACCTAATAGCTCACAGCTGGTATCTTCAAAGAAACTGCCCATAGAGCCATTTCTGTGTTACAGAAGGTGATGTTGCACACACTACACAGAGCTTCTCCTTTAGTATTCCTTTTCACGCCCTCTCCCTCTAGCTTATCATTGCAGTTCACACTACATTGAGAAGAGGACTTCAATTTTTGGGCTCCCTACCACTAGTAACAGTAGAGAAAGTGAGATGGAGGTGCAGGCGTCCCTCCTCTGTGCATCACACCAACCTACCACTGCATGAATTTAGAGCCCACCTGGGAGGAGAGGAGGAGTTATTCAGCCACGGAGTAGAGCCCTGTGCAAACTTGTATGTGTGGAAATTTCCACGGTCAGAGAAAGACAGGAGATGCTTTGGCAGCAATGAGTGTGGTTCCTGAGCCCACCTCCATTCCACAGGCCGTGCAGGCCTCACCAGCGCACCGAGTGCCACGGAGAAGTGCGTGCAGGCCTCACCAGCGCACCGAGTGCCATGGAGAAGTGACACATCTGCTGTCACACACACAGGTCTGTCACCTGATCAGCACATACTGCTCACCAGAGGGAGCCTAAAGACCAGCATCACTGAGCACTTTCAAGAGCTAATTAAACAGCAGAGCGCTAGCACAATAAAACAGGATGTTGAAAACTGCATGATCCCTCAAAAGCCAAACGACAGCTGCCATGTTTCTAAAGGGCGCTTTCCCCCCCCTTTTTCTTTTACAAGAATGCATTTCTTACATTAATGCCATTTCCTTTTGGAAGAGAACCTGAAAGTGCAAATGAGCATTAAGCTGATGATGTTCTTCCTGAATACAGAGATCTCTGTACCATGCTTGATCTCTAAGTACCACAACTGGATAAAAAGAATATAAGAATCACTTGGTATTTAAAAACCCAAGATACTGACCAGGGAAAGATAATGTTTACATTTATAGCTGGAAACAACAGCCTTCCTAGACTAGGATCCTACATGTTAGACCGTGAAATAAAAAAGGCAATACTGCACTATTTCTGCCAAAAATACAGCTGGAAGAAATAGGATTATACTGATGCCAGCTTGTGGTAACTCCTGGTGCTGGTCAAGCTTCTTTAGAAGTAGTTGGTAAGCTGTTTTATATTAGCTTTTTCCTCCCAATAATTCTAAAGATAAAAATTGCATACATCAGAGCAAGTTTAGGGATGCTAGTTCATTTAGTCCCATGAAAGCATGATCACCAGTGAATAGCCAAGCAAACTGATAAAAATCATGATGTTAAATATGAGGGTGGGGATAAAGGAATAGGATGTTGTCAAGGCATGTCTTAAGTTTTTGATCAGTTTCCCTGTATCTTCTCTTTTATAGTCAGTATTACGCTTCTTACTACACACAAAGCCATGGCTCATTTTCAGCTACAATAGTTTATAATTCCTAGCTTAAATGCCCTCTTCCTATGCATTTTATTTTTCAGCAAGGAAAGAGGAAAATTAAGTGCTGTAAATGTTCACTTATTTGTGTTCATTATTATAACATTATCAAGAACTTAATAAATCACAAACACTATTCAGTATAAATAAGTATCTGTATTTTAGCTTTCTACTGTGTTTGCAACACTCAGACAAGAAAAATAACCAGGCAGTCATCTCCCATGATGGGTAGATTTAGTTCAATCTACAGCTAATTACAATATCATCAGAATGGTCTTTATTAATTTATCCATTAATTATTTACAGCTCCCAAGTTGCATTTTAGTTGGCTCAGTCTTTGGATTAACAGCTGCCTGACTTTTGGTTGGGACTGATTGCTTCCCTGTACGTTAAGCACCGTGAACCACATAAGTGGTTTCAAGTATCTAAATTTCTGTTGTGATTATATTACAATTTCTACATTGAAAAATGTATCTGCAAATGATTTTATTCTAAGGCTAATAGGAAGGATGAGGCACTACAGCCAGCACTGGGATACTCCTTACTGATGTTGTGCTCTTTAGCCGCCGCTTCCAAAGGCAACGCTCACAGGCTTTACTTCCCACTTGCTTAAAAGCAATGTTTTCATTTAGCACTTTGGTGGCCGGAGATTGCGAAGCCATCTGTGCTGTTCCGTGGCACTGCAGTTGTGCTGCTGGATGCTGCAGCTGTCTGCCTGCCAGCACGGCACCCGCCTCACCGTGGGCCAGGGATCACCGCTCGGCGTCTTCGCCGTTTGAGCTCTGCTGGCTCACACCTGCTTTGTCATAGCTTGTCTTTCAGTCTAGACATGTCCTAAATGTTTCAGATGTCCCTTGGGCTCCTCAGGACAAAGCCAGGGTTGCACCAAGTATGCACAGAGAATTTTTATTTATGTATTTAAAAAAATAAAAAATTGCAACAGAGTAATTGTGAAATAGGGAAAAAGTAGTACTGGGATTAGATGCAATGCATTCATGTACTGCCACAAAGGACTAACTGAAAAGATGCAGTTTGACTAAGAAAGTGGCTAATATACATCATCCTGCTCACGCCTGATGCGCGTGTGTCAGCACTAGAACTTCACAGTGGTAACTCCCAACTGCTTCGTGATATCACAGAATCACAGAATCTTCTAGGTTGGAAGGGACCTCAGAGATCATCTTGTCCAACCGTCAACCTAACTGACAAAAACAGACACCCGCACAACAAACAAGAAGCATCATCACTAAACCAGACCTCCCAGCACTACATCAACCTGGCTTTTGAACACCTCCAGGGATGGTGCCTCAACCACCTCCCTGGGCAGCCCACTCCAATGGCTGATAACCCTTTCAGTGGAAAATTTTTTCCTAATATCCAGCCTGAAATATGGTTTATTCAATATTAAAAAGAAGCAGTGACAAACTTGGGCATCTAAATAACCCTTTCACAAATGAATTCATGCAGAAGAAACTTGGAAGACTGACTGGCTGTAGTCAGCCGTACAGTCACACAGCTGGCAGCAGTGGTGGACTGAACATTATTTAATTGCAGCTTTTCAATCAAGAGAATTTAATTACATATTTTAAGCAAAAATGCAACAAAATATTTTTATGCACTATGACAGTATACTTTCTAGACCTTTGTAAAGTGAGGAACCAACTCATGTTTATGTGTTGATAAAAATAAAAGCTAACTCAAGCGTATTTTAGGCAGCCATCTGCACTGTGTAAATGCAGCTCACTTCTCCCAGAGCTGTTGTCCTTGAGGCACGGCTCCTCGTGGTGCCCAGCAGCTGGCTGCTCCCGGGGCAGCTCCCAACGCTGGCTTCCCAGCACTCTGGCAGATGAAGAGGAAGGACATCATCTGCCCACAGCTGTCTAGGAAGGGGCAAAGCTGCCCTGTGATGCAGAGGGCAGCCTCCTGCACATCTCCAGGGCGGCAGAGATCTTTCTGGCACAGCATGACCTGCCTGGACAGAAGGGAGGGAGAGCCAACCTGCGTACCACCCCAAGCCCTTCCTGACAGTGCACACTGCTGGCTGCATGCAGCTCATGCAGGAGAGAGAGAACAATTAGCATTCATTTCTTTTTCTTGCTCTTTTTAATTTAATGTGCATCTAGAAACAAACGTATTCATTTTTTTTCCTTACAGTTAAAAAAAAAAATGCTAGCATTTAAAGGAAGCGTAGAAATGAAGCATTTGGAAGAAGCTGTTTTGAATTACGAGATTGTGGGCTTTCATCACAAACCATTAATACCAAACTTTTTATCTGAAGTATCCATGAGAAAGAAAGGTACAAATTTTCTTCTCGAGTTAACATGCAATGTAGCACACAATGTA